GCTAAGATGCCGCCTCCTGTGGCACCCTGCAGCCCATGGCCCTCTCCCCTGCTCGGTGGATGGGGTCAGGTCCCAGAAGAGGCCGGGAGGTCTGCCTGGTCCTCACTGCTGGTGACCAGAGTGGGTGCTGTGGGTTGCATTGGCAGCTGCTGGCAGCTGTTGGTGAGGATGGTGGCTCCCACCCGGCTGTGCCTTCACCATATGGGAGCTCCTAGCAAGTTGGAGCACCCAAGCAGAACCTGAGCCAACTAGATTGGAAATTCTGTGTGCATGGAGAACTCAGCGTCTGGGTTGCTAACACCCCTGTGATTCCAGTGTGTGGCTGGGCTGACCTTGGGTTGGTTCAGGTCCACACTGGAAGCATGGGATCAAGTAGGTACTTCACAGATTACACAGATTAGCTGGGGAATTTCTGTGCAGGCCTGGCCCAGGGCCCGGTACGGGGCCTTCTGCTGAGTGTTTGGGAGCCTCAGGGTGGACATCAGAGGCCTCTCACACTGACATCTTCTCCGCTGTCTGGAGCCATCCTGAGGGCTCGGTGGCTTGGGCTGGGCTCTCCTGCTCTCAGTGCCTGGCTAGCTCCTGAGTCAGGCTGGGGAGATGGCCGGCAGGGTTCACACCAGCAACCCTGTCCTAAAGCATTTCATCCAAAATGCGTAAACATTAGTAATGATTCAGTGAAAGAGATGAATCTATAATAACAGTCCCTTTCATTGTTGCTGAATTGCCAATATACAGAATGTTACCTAATTTGTGGGCTAAGTTTTTGTTTAATGTGTGGAAACCTGGAAATAACGACCACTGTTCATACCATTAGCTCTGTGAAAATGTGATTTCTGAAGCCTAAACATTCAGCTTACAAATTTTCTGTGTCTCTTACTATTATTATTATTATTATTATTATCATTTATTATTATTATTATTATTATTTTTTTTTGAGGAGGTCTTGCTATGTAGTTTGGGCTGCTCTTGAACTCAAGACAATCCTCCTGCTTCAGCCTCCTGAGTGCTGGGATTACAGGCGTGTGCCACTGTGCTGGAAATAAATTCCCTTTTGGCACCTGAGTGTTTGTGGAGTGTATGGGAGTGTATCAGTCAGTGTTCACTGGAGAAAGATTTAATACGTGATGTACAAACATATGAGGATTTACAAGATTACTTGTGCCACCCACAGAGCCTGGTGAGGAAGGTGCAGTGTCTGTCTGCTCGCTGGAGACCGAGGGATCCAGCTGAAGGCCAGGGGCCCACCGCAGTGTCCCTGCGACCCTGAATCAGGAGCCCAGGGTCTGCGCTGGAGGCCTGGAGGTCACGTCCCAGCTGAAGACGCAGAAACAGAAGCGAGGCTTCCGTCTTCCTTTCCCTTTTACCTGTAATGGTGATGTCCTCCCTAGGGCGGGTCTTCCACACCCAGAGCTGTGCTGAGCCCATGGAGCTGGGCGCTAACTCAAGCTGACACTCAGTCAACACTGCAAGGTGTGTGCATGAGTTGTGTGCCTGCGTGGGTGTGTGTCTTGAGGGCACACGTGTAAAAGCATGATTGTGAGTGCAGAAGTGTGGAAGTGTTTGAGTGTATCAGGAGCTGCTGGGTGTGTGTGTGAACCTGGTGTGCGTGTGTGTGTCTCAGTGTGCCTGTGTGTGGGGAGGTGCAGGGCTCAGGCTCGGCAGGGAGGAGGAGGCTGTTTCTTCTCCGTGGTCTGCAGACTCCGCTCCAGCTCATCCTCTCCTAATCCTTCTGTAAACTTCAGACAACGCAGGCTGAGACTTTCTATTACTGTCAAAAGCCATTCTGAAGCCGTTCAAACACTCTGTATCCTTCCTTCTGGGAGACACGTGCAGCAGGAGTGTACACCAGCTTCGGCAGGCCTTGTGTTTTCCTCTCTTGCTGCAGGACTCAGCTTTATCAGCAAACAGGGTGCTCTCCGTGAGCCCCAGTTGGGGGGCAGGTGGTGGTGCTGGCACGAGGTCAGGGGACCTGGGCACGGCCTGTCACGGCCGGCTCCTGTGCTCTTTGCTCCCTTGAGTTCTTTCATTTACTCATCAGAGGAAGGCTGGGGGTCAGAATTATCTTTCCCCTTGATTGGACTTTCTCGGCATTGAGTGTCAGTCGGGTTCTGCTAAGACTTGTCAGGATCCGATGGTGTCTCTGCCCTGCACTCAGGAAAACAACACCTCCTCCATCTGCATGGCCCTCTTTAGCTTGGTTTTTTACACCCCAGGGTTATGGAGCAAAATGTTCTGGTTTTGGAGAGTGGAGACGGTGTTCTGTAAGACTGCTGCGGTGCTCTAAATCCTCTAAATGTGACATCGTTTCAAGTTTCATTTATCCGAGCTTTGCTCATAAACTTGCTGCTCTGTTTTGGGGTTACTCAACTGCCCACGTCTTCTGGCAATGAACTTCTGGCAATGAAACTGGAGAGCCCCTTCCCTGGTCTGCTTTTCAATCAAGAGTGTTATGGTCAGCGACATCGCTGTCACCCTGATTATTTCTGGGCTTTCAGAAAAGGTGCTTCCTGTCTCTCTCTGTGGCCTGCTGTTGGTGGTGGGGACAGCCCTGCTGCAGCGAGGGCAGGAGGAAGAGACGGGGTGGACTCAGAAGTAACTGGGGGACAAGATGGGAAATGTCCAAGAGGATACGTATCTGTCACCCGGTGCGCTGTATCTTGTTATTGATTAACACTGCTGCACAGGAATAGTTACACTTTGAGTTTATAGCTCCCGGGTATCATTATTTCACATGGTTCAGGGTTATTTCTCTACCACCAGACCTTGGCCTTTCTGATTTACCTTTACTCAGGGTGCAATTCTGCTAACACGCTGGCTAATAATAAACTAAATTCAGATTTTTTTTTTAGCTTATATACTTTGTTTTTTTCCTACTTAGGATTGAACCCAGGGCACTGAAATACAACCTCAGCCTGTTTTTATTTTAATTTTGAGACAGTGTCTTGCGAAGCCCCTAAGCTGTGCAGACGGCCTTGAACTTATCCTCCTGTCCCATGCTCCTGTGTGCTAACATGCCTGGCTAAGATAATATAGGTTAGAAATATTTTACAATCATTTACCAAGATACTGTTTGCTCTCTAACTTTCTCTTGTCTACAACATGAGAAATGATTGAGGGTGTGGCTCAATGATACTGTACACAGATACACGCACACACACACACACACACACACACACACACTAAGAGAGGGAACACATACTAGTAGTATCTACATTTACCATGTTCAGGGAAAATGCTTTTCCTCTTTAAAAATCCAGGGACAACATCAGAGACTCTTTTTTTTTTTATCGGTACTAGGGATTGAACTCACAACCATGTGCTTGCAAGGCAGGTGTTTATGCCGCTGAGCTAAATCCCCAGTCCTTTGTTGGTTTTATTAGTGCTGTTTTAATAGTGAGATCCCAAGAAATTGAGTCCCTGAAGAAGGAATAAACATTCTACGATCCCAAGCTCCACTGTTTTATTCCTTCCTGTACTGATACGCAGGACCTCTTTGGCAGATGTGAGGGGTTCCACGCTCTTTTGAAGCTTTATTTTTTTCTAAAACAGGATTTTTCTATGTAGTTCAGGCTGCCTCGTACTCACAGCAATCCTGCTTTAACCTCCTGAGTGCGGGGATTGCAGGCATGCACCGTTACACCCGACCTGAATTCATTCTTTTAGAAGAGGACTTTTAACTTCTATATTTTAGCCCCTTCTTTAGCCCCACCGAGGAACAGAGAAGCTCAGAGCCTTGCCCAGTGTGTCATCATTAAGCATCAGGAATAAGGCTGAGGCATGCGATCTTCCCAGCCACCAAGCTCCCCAGTGCCAACTGACTGACTGTGCTCCTCCCAGTTCGAGTGCGGAGGTCCACTGTGATGGTGTGCTGAGCAGGAGGACATGGAGAGGTGGCTTGGGTGAGGCGTGTAACAAAGGTGCCCACCTTGCGACACGATTAGCACCTTTCTAAGAAGTGCCTGGGACCTGTTGCCCAGATTTGCAGGGGGGTCCTCACTGTCCTTGGACTAATGATTGAACCCCGGTCTTTGCACAGAGCTACATACTTGGCCCTTTATGTTTTTACTTTGAGTCAGTGTCTTGGTAGGTCACTTAGTTGCCCACGTTGGGCTTGAACTTGTGATCCTCCTGCCTTAGCCTCCCAGAGTGCTGGCATTACTGGAACAATTATCCTGCCCAGCTGAGAACTGAGTCTTTAAAGTGCAAAATGACTGTAATAAGAGAGAGAGGAGGGATTCTGTAGAAAGATCTCCATTTCTGAGGCTGTGTCCCCACCTGGTGAGTAGGGTGTTCTGACTATGGAGAGGTCTGGCTGTGTGTGTGTGTGTGTGTGTGTGCGCGCGCGCGCGTGTTTGTGTGCGCTCACGTGTGTGTATGTGTGTGTGTGTGTGTGTGTATGTGTGTGTGTGTGTGTGTGTGGGCTCCCACTGGAGGTCTAACTAGGAATACAATCTGTCTCTGCCCTGGACAGCACTGTCCCTCCTCAGCACATATTGGGGAAAGGGGGTGGGAGTGTGGAGTAGCCTGGGGTGGGGCAGAGGGCAAAGCTGGAGTCTGCTAAACCTGGGTTCAGATCCCAACTCTGCCACTTAGTGGGTGGGTGGATAAAGTTAGAGTAGGCTTAATTAGCATGGAAAATCTCCACGGGAAAGCCTCCTTCCCGCTTTCCAGGGGAGATGAGGAAGGGCACAGTGAGTCCTGGGTTGGGAGTCAGGGGAGGTAGGGACACAGGGGTCCAGAGCCTTGTAGGACTGGCAGGGAAGACAGCCTGGCTGAGGTGCTGCAGCGGGAGGGCTCACCCCGCCCCCCTGGTAGTGCCCATGAGAGAGGCTGAGGGCCAGGGCAGGACTGGGAGGCAGACAGGCAGTGTGACAGCCAGCCAGAAGCCTGCTCGCTGTCTTGGTTTCCGTTCCAGTGCAAAGGTTACTTGGCCGCTTGAATCCACCCTTTTTTCCCCCAATTCCAGTGCAAAGGTTACTTGGCAGCTTGAATCCGCCCCTTTTCTATTCCCATATAAGGAAGGGAGGTCAGGTTCCAAAAGCCCTAAGCGCCACTAGCCTTCTACTTCCTTCCTACACCCGGAACCAGGCGCGATGGCGGGGGATGCAGTGCTGCTGGCGGCTGTCTCTCTCCTCTCTGCTTGTCAGCAAAGTAAGCAGGGACACAGCGTGTGTATGTGTGTGTGTGTGTGTGTGTGTGTGTGTGAGAGAGAGAGAGAGGGAGAGAGAGAGAGAGAGGGAGAGAGAGAGAGAGAGAGAGAGAGAGAGAGAGAGAGAGAGGAGTGAAGCTGGGAGCTCTGTCCTTTGTCTGGGTTTCTCAGTCCTTGCCAGGGTCCTGGCCAGGGTCACCTGACAGCCCCTCCCCAGGACAGCCAGAGATTAGGAGCCTTCAGGGATTAGCTCCCAGCAGGAATTGAGGGCCCTCAGAGCCCAGTGACTGGTGTCTTCTGGAGATGGAGGGCACTCACAGCCGGGTGCACAGGTGCACAGGAGCTCTCCCTTAGGGGACTTGGCTCTCAGGGGGAGCAGGCTATAAACATCAAACACCAGTGTCCCAAAGCGAAATTGGTCCTGTTTTGGAGCCCAAGCAGGGATCTTGGAACCTGATCTTTTAATTAAAATGTTTTCTTAAATAAACTGCCTATGGCAGGTCTGATCAAGTTAAAACAAATCTCTAGCAGAAACAGGAGCTTTAGATGAAGTAATTAATTCCAAATATTAAGCCACCTTCCCACTAGGATTGCCCAGCAGCTTGCCTGCCTGGTTAAACAGAAAGCTTCTCCCCAAGCTGCTCCATGCCCCGCCCCTCACCTCCGGGCTGGGAGGGGAAGGATGTACCAGGCTCCTGGCCCCAGATCCCCACTTCTGTACCTTTCTCAGTGTGCCCGAGCCAGGAAGCAGCTGAGCGGCACCCTGGGCCTGCACATGCGCAGCAGCTTGTCTTGCCCGACTGATTTGCAATGTGTGACATCTTGTGGTTTCATTCACAGCCCTCTGTGTTGTACACTGTGATGTTTGTCACCAAGTAAAGGAGTTCTTGGGTCTAAAGCAATGCGTTTCCAATGATAAGTGCTTCAGAGCCCACATGCACCCTCATCTCGAGGCTGGGGCCCTCCAGAGCCACAGAGGCTTGGGCCCCTCCCAGGGGCTCCTGTTTGCTAGTGGGTGTAGGGGAAAGGAGCAAAAGGGGTCAGAGACTTGATAATGATGATGAGAAGGACTGGGGTGGGAAGAGAGGGGAGAGACGGGGTGGAGATGGCTCATGGTGGACAGGGCCTAATTAGAGAAGAGGAAGTTGCAATGGTTATGGCCCTGAGAACCAGCATTTGCCACTTTTTCTGGAGCTGGGACACATGTGCCAAAGTGGAGATTGCTGAGTTTTGAAGGCAGACTCCTGTCTGCTGCCTGGTCCAGGCACGCGTCAATGGGACACTGGGTGAGAAGCATCTGCCGGGGACAAGCTGTGGGATGGAGGTGCAGCTGCCCCAGGAAGGAGCCCAGCTGTGGCCGGGTGGGCAGGTGGGCCTCCAGAGTCCCTTGCAGAAGGCAGGGGAGAGGAGACACAGGAAGAGCAAAGACGATGATTCTCAAGAGGTTTAGAAAGGAAAGAAAATGGAAGCTTTCCTGAAAGATAGGTGGAATAGCTCTCCTCCCCTCGGCCCTGGAAGCCCACTCTGGGGCAGCAGGTGTGGCAGTCCTTCCCAGTAGTGGGGAGACTGGTGCACCTTGCTCCTTCCTCACATTTGCTGGGGAGGCAGACGGGTGCCTGCTGGGCGCAGTTCACAGCCTGGGGAAAGACAGCTGCTTTCTCAGCTTTCCTTTCCTTGCAGCTCCATTCTGAAGCCCTAGGTGGTTCTACTAATGGATCCATCTAGGAGCTCGTGGCTGTTTCCATTCTGCAGGGGGGAAGGAGAGGCCTGGCCAGCTTTCTCCCAGGCGGTGAAGGGGGTTGGAAGGAACAGGGACAGCAGGTTGCAGGAGGCCAAGCCCCGGTGTCTGATAGTGGTTCCCGTTTTGGGTTCCAGCTGGGCCCAGGCCATTGGCTTTGGCCCCGAAGGATGTGGCCTGGTGGGAAGGCGCCCAGCCTGGCCCACATTTCCAGGTCATCTTGCTGCTCTCCCATGGGGCTGAGATGCTAATCCGCAGTGGCTCTGTAGCAGAGGGGAGCCGCGGGGAAGGGGCTGTGTGCGAGGGGGCTCTTACCAAACTGGGTCAGTGGAGACTTGCTGTGGAGGGGAGCGTGTCCTGTTGCAGGAGGAAACACATCGCTCTGAGATGCCAACCCAGGAAGACACTGGATCTGCAATTGGTGTGCGTTTTTTTTTCTTTTCTTTTCTTTTTGTGCAGTGTTGGGGTGGAACCTGGGGCCTAAGCACCCAGTGCTTGACGACCACCAGGCTTTGTCCACCATCCTTGTTGGAATTTTAAGATGAAACTTGTTTTTTGTTTGTTTGTTTGTTTGTTTATTTATTTTTTGACAATAGGTTTCTCTACATTGCCCAGGCTGGGTTTGAACTTGCAACCCTCATGCCTCAACTCCACAGCATGCTGGGAGGAGGCTGTTTTTAAGACATCAGCAAGTAGGAAACGGATAGTGAGACACTCAAATGAGATGGAAATAGTGTTGGAGAGAAATGGTAAGGATCAGAAACTGGGTGAAATAATGTGACAGGAAATGATAGACCCCAGGAGTTAATGATGGTGTGAAAAGTGGGTAAAGTCAGGAAGTGAGCACGTGGGAGATTCGGAAACTGCCAAAGGAGGAAGTGTGGACGGAAAGTGAAAGGCCTCAGATCGAATTATAAGACGGATGGCCCCAGGCATTGGAGGTTGATCATTTAACACAATTGCCACACAGATCCAAAGGAGAAAATAGCCATGCCATTTAATAACAGGGAACAGAGTCAAGGAGGGAGCATTGTCTCCAAAGGTTTTCCTGTTCCCTGTCTTCTGGTCCTGCCTTCTCATCTTACAGTAACCACTGAACTCTTCATTCATTTACATTTTTGAGATTTTTATGACATTCCACAATAGTAGTCTTTTTTGACTTTTTATTTTTTTGTGGTTCTGGGGCTCGAACCCAGGGCCATTATGTACCCAAGGCAAGATCTATACCCCTGAGCCACACCCCCAGCCCCGTAGTAGTCTTTTTATCCTGGGTTTCATTTTCATCATCTTTCTGAGATTCATTCATGCTGTTTTGCATATCAATAGTTCAATTCCTTTTTAGTTTTGAAAAGTATTCCATTGCATGAAGATGTCACAATCTTATCCACACACTTGCTGATAGATAGTGGTATCATTCAGTGTTTACTAGGAAAATAGAAGCAATAGGATATGTACATACACACACGCACACACACATATACACACACAGACGTATGAATTAGTTCATGTGATGAGGGGCTGGCAAGTCTGAAATCTGTAGGACAGGCTGGTAGGCTGAAAACTGTGGCTAGAGTTGATAATACAGTCCTTAGTTGAAAGCAGCTTTTTGTGTTTTGTGTCTAGATGTCCCTCCAAAGCCTCATGCAGTCATGGGAACAGGCTTCTAGAGCTTGTTGTTGATTCGTGGTCCAATGCTGGAATTATGGATGTGAGTGCTACACCCACTCTGGGCAGGTGCATACAATATAAAGGAGAGAAACAGGCTTGCTCTCTCCACTCCCCCATGTTTTCTTGTTGCTTTTGCTTCCACTGCATGAACAATTGTCTTCTGCTATCCTGCTTTGGAAGCAGTAAGATTATGGGCTGAAACCTCCACAAGCTGTGAGCTAAATAAACCTTTCCTTCCCTAATTTTGGGTGTCTGCTATTTTGTCTCAGCAATGAGACAGAAGTAACCAAGACACAGTTGGAAGCAGAATCCTTTCCATTTTGGAGAACTTTAGTTTTGTCTCTCTAGAACCTTCAACTTATGGGATGAGGTCCACCCACATTATGGAGGGAGATCTACTTGTTTAAAAATTAATCACATCTAAAAAAGTACCATTTCAGCAGCACCTTGACTGGTGTTTGACTAGACAGCACTGTGGCCTGGCCAAGTTAACACATAAAATCAACCATCACAAAGTTGTCGCTAGTTTTGGGCTACTGTAAATAGGCTGCTGTGAACACTTATATACAGGCTTTTCTACAGACATGTAATTTCATTTCTCCTGGGCAAATACTTATGGGAAGAGTGACTGAGTTATATGGGTGACGCATGTGTGATTAAAAAGATCCCATCCACTCTGTTTTTCAAAGTGGTTGTACCATTTTACACTCCCACCAGCGACACACGCGAGAGTTCTCATCGCTCTCACATCCTCACTCGGCTGTTTGTGTTCTACTCTGTGGGACTTGGTTTAAATTTGCATCTGATGATTAATGTTATGTCACATCTTTACCACAATATTCCCTCTCCTTGCAGGTTATTTTGCTTTCCGGGTTGGAAGGACAAGATTAAAATGCAAGGTGATGCCCCCGGCTGTCACTGGGTCTCTGGAGTTTGAGAGAGTGTTTCGTGCACAGTAAGTAGTGGGCTTCTGACCCTCTGTGTCTGTGCCTGCTGCAGATGCACAGTTTCTAACTGAGGGAAGAGTTCTGAGAAGGCCTACGGTCCTTGACTGTGTCCAGCCGTAACTAACCATTCTTCCCAGCCAAGCCCGCTCACAGCCCATGAAGCTGGAAGCATCCTTTGTGTGGAGTCTCTACCCAGCTCCATCACAGAGTCAGCAGGGTATATATACCCAAAAGGCTGAGATCTTAGCAGAAACTTCTTTGTCTCTCAAGCAGGACAGTTGGACAAATAGACCCCTGCACTGTGACAGTACAGGAGACTCAAGTGGACTTAATGATCCTATAATTATTTTTTAATCTTTTCTGTCTTTATTTTTCTCTCTTACTTCAAGGCAAAGATGATTAATATACCCCCTCCTATTTCTCCACAAATAATTTGTCAAAATCGGAACCACAGATGCATGGGAAATCTCTCCTGGTCTTATGATCTCCAGTGCTCCTGGCTTTTTAGACCCACAAAGAATGTTCTGCCGTGGATTTGCCTTCTGTAAAGTGCTAAGGTCCCCTATATATTTTGTCCCCAAGATTAAAAAACATTGCATGTCATCATTTGTATCTTGCTGGGTACTTTTGTTATTGTTTTGAGATTTTTCCTTTACGTCCGTGCGTGAGATTGGCTTGTAGTTTGTCTTGTATGGTCCTTCTCCCATTTTGGTATCAAGATGATACCCATTTCAGATGAAGTGGAAGAGTCATCCTCTTTTATATTCTCAGATAATATGAACTGGATTGAAAGAATGTTCCTTCAAAGGAACAGTGTGTAAAACTTGGCTTCAAACTATCTGAATCTGATGTTTGTCTTGTGGGAGTATTTTGGACTATGAGATTGTCTTTCCTTAATGATTATTGGATAGTGATTTGTTTTTAAACCTCTTGACTTTAGTTTTGCTAAGTCATGTCACTGAGCGACACCATATATCTTGTTCGTTTATTGGTTCCAAGGAGGATTTTGCAGACTTTTCCCTGGGCTTGGATGAATACCACTGATAGTTGAAGACGTGGTTTTAAGAAACATGGAGACTGGATTTTAAATAATGTTGAGCCACATGATGAGAAGTCTTTCACTTGTCTTTGAATCCTTAAGGTCTTCCAAGTTTCTTCCTGTGGTCTGTTTGAACTTTGTCTTTCATATTTACTCACTAAGTAAAAATGCCCATTAAATATTTGTGTACTGCACCTTGGCCTGCATCTGTGAGCCTGTCAAGCACCAGCCTTTGCCCATTTGGAGTTTAACTGCTAGCTGAGGAAGGCTGAAAATAAACTACAAACATCATGTTATATGTTAGAGGGAGGCGTGTGCTATGACGAAAGGAGAGCCAAGTAAGAGGTGTTGAGTGGGGCCATGCTGCACTGTGAAATGGGGTGCTCAGTGTCCCCTGTGCAGAGGAGGCGGCACTTGAACAAAGGCTTGAGACGAGGGTGTTGTTACATGTGCATGTAGAGAAAAAGCGCTTGGGGTACCAGGGAAGCCAGGACAGGGACCCTGTGTGGGAGCTGCTTGAGCAGCCAGCAGGAGGTCAGGGCAAGTGAGGAGGCTGCCATCTGGGAGGGGCTCGGGGGTCAAGACAGAGCAGGATGGACAGCAGTCATGAGGACCCAGGCCACCCTGAGGACTGTCTTTCTCTCTGAGTGAACTGGAGAGCCATTGTGGAGTTTAGACAGAGGAATAACCTGATCTTTTGGGTTCAGATGGTCACAGTGTCTTGACTTTGCTCAGAGAAGTCTGCATGGAGTCATCAGTAAAAGCAAGGTTCAGTGAGGAGGGCACTGCAGTGGTCCAGGTGAGCGATGTAGTGGCTGGAGCCAGGGAGACCGCAGAGGAGGTGACGAGGGGTGGTCAGGTGTGGGTATATTTTGAGGGTCGAACCAAAAGAACTTAGTGATATAATGAATGTAGAGTGTAAGAAGAGCCAAGGGCGGCTCTTGCATTTGGGGCCTGAGAATCCCAAAAGATGGAAATATCATTAACTGAGATGGATAAAACTGTAGGAGGGGAGGTTTTTTTTTTTTGCAGGGGAGGGGATCAGGAGGTTCAGTTTTAACATGTCTGTGACCTGACTTATGCTACAGCCAAGGTGTCTTAGTTACTTTCTCATTGCTGGGGCAAAACACTTGACACCCACAACTTAAAGGAGGAAAGGTTTATTTCAGTTCACAGTTTGTAGAGGTTTCAGTCCATAGTGGGCTGGCTCAAAGGCATGGCAGAGGGACATTGCAGAGGAGAAACAGGCCATGGCAGGGCAGGCAGGAAGCAGTGAAGCAGCAACAGTTTCCTTTCCCTTTCACCTCATCCATGCTTCCACTGTATTGGCTGGTGCCACTCACACCGGGGCGGGCCTCCCCATTATCCACACACAGAACTGTGCCAGTCCAATGAATCAGTGGTTATTACACCCTCACCCACATTCGTAACCCCCCAATCCAGCACCTAAGAGCATATGAGGCTTTGGAGGGATATCTAGATACTAGCCATAACACAACTGCTTGCTACCGGGCTATCCAGATTATTTGTTATTACAGCAAAAGTAGAGAAACACACTGTTATTTACTTCTCCAAGAAGAGAGAGAGAGAGAGAGAGAGAGAGAGAGAGAGAGAGAGAGAGAGATTGAGAGACAGTATAGGCTGCTGGATACACAAATCTGCATTTTAGAAGAGAGACCTGAGGTGCAGATATATCTTTATCGGGAAGGTGCTCTAAACCATGATTCCAGATAAGAGCATTAGGGCACAGTGTGTGGAGGTGAAGAGGAAAGAGGACCAAGGACTGGACCTGGAGTCTCTGGCATTGAGAATTCAGGATGACAACAAGAGGCAGTGAGCTCAGTGAGTTGAGCAAAGATTTTAGAGGCTTTACTCCAATGGCACATGGTCCTTGACTGGTAACCTGTGCAATTAAAAGAAAAATACCCGGGGAGTGAGTCGGGAGCCCCATGTGCATGGCTGGGGCTACTGAGCGGCTGGTCTCACTAAGGTGAGTAAGTGACCTCACCCTCCACCATTGCTAGCGTCCCCAGAGAGTCTCTGACTCAGTTTCTCTAGGTCCTGCGATAGGGGAGTGTAAAATCTTTCAGCCAGACCCTCTATATCAGCCTCTGGGCTCCCAGGGCCCCCAGCTCCTGGGCCTCCCGGTGTTCCTGGCACATCTGGTCTTAGTCTTCATTGGCTCTTTGCTCTGCTAGCCTTTAGCTGGCAGCTTCCTGCCTTTGCCTGCTCAGTGTCTGCCTTCTGTGCCTGTCCTTCCTCAGAACCCTGCCCACATCTCTCTTCTCTTTGTGCTAGGTGGCATGTGCATATTCTTTAAATTCTTTTACCAGCATTATAGTGAGGCTTCAGAAGCAAAAAAGAGATAAACACAGGTCAATGTGCCGTGTTTAGGAAGAGATCCCTGTAATAGGTTCTCGGTGCCTATTGGACACTTATTTCCCAACTCAACAGAGAGCTCATGCTCAGAGCCTTCAGGACCAACAGTATCCAGTTAGAATTTGGATACTGGATATTATTTCCAAGGGGTTTATCATGTACTCTTTATTTAGGACATGATATTTTTTCTTCACTGGTGGTAGTGATGTAAAATTTTTTCCTAACTTAAGTTTAAAAAACCCAGTTGATTTATAGAAACCTAGTAAGTGGTACATGGAGAGACTGAAATTTTGACAGTGACAGGTTTATGCTTGAAGTTTGGGAGACACCACACTATTTATAAAAATTCGCCACAGGAGGGAATTTCAGATCTTCTCACTTTGTCTTTCAGGATCTAAGAATTTCTGGTTTGGGAAGTTAGGTTTCCAGCAGGCTAAGTCCCTGGACCACTTCTTGGTTCTATTTTTGGTCTCACAGTTTCTACAAATTTGACTTTCTTTCAAGTTATTGGTCTCTCCTGCCTCTGCTATATCTGGACTCCTCTTGCCCTAGAAATAAGGCTGGATACCGTTTCCAAATATTTCTCTTAAGTTGCTATTTATAAAATAAGTATACAAACCCAATTCCTTGGTTACAAGTTAAAAACAATTCCCTTTAGTTTGCTTGATTAATTACAGCAGAACAGAAAGGTGCCGAAAAAGAATAATATTCTTGAATATCAGAGTAGGAGCCATAAATGCAGCTGCTTCTTGGATATCCTACAGGACTAGCCGGATTCTTGCCTAAGATTAGGAGAACTCTGGTCAAATCAGGTTCTGGTCATTGCTAGGGCAGCCATTTTGACCTTTTCTGAGGTAATTGATGCTGAAGCCCTTGGACCAACCAGTTCATTTCAGAATCCATTTGGTGATTTCTCCCTTTCTTGCATTGGCTTCTTAAGCTCTGCAAACCCATGAAGAAGGAATAAACTTCTTTTGTGTCTCTCTTGGGCCAAAGCATTGAGTTCCTTCAGTCTCTGCTTAAGATCTCATGACTGTGACTTTCACAGAAATGATGCTTTCCTCTGCCCTTTCTCTGGTTGCTTCTGCCCTCAAAATGACTAACAAGTCAAAATTATGACCAGTACGCTCTCTAAGGAGAACTTGACATCTCATTATCGGTCACTTTGACGGCCTCTGAGCACCACTAAATGCTTGGTCAGTGTCCAAGGGTCACCTCCAGTTGGGTGTTTGTTTGCCAAACAGAGAAGTTGTTTTGGAGTTCATTTCGTAATCCTGCTTCCCTCCTTCAGGAAGAGACCTCCGAGACCACCATCTCTGGAGCTTTGCACAAAACTTTGCCAAAATATATTTCAAAGGGGCTGGAGATTTAGCTCAGCAGCATAAGTGCCTGCCTGGTAAGCATAAGGTTGTGAATTCCATCCCTGGTTACCGCCCCCCCCCCCAATAAAATAAAAATAAATAAATCAAAATAAATTTTAAGAAAGAATGTAATTCAAAACATTGTGAGAACAGCAACTTCCATTTCACCAAGGACCTTTCCTTTATGTATTGCTAAACTCAGAAAATTCCTTTTTGTCTAATGCAAGCA